CCCCTTCAGCTAGCCACCCAGCTCCCCTGTGCAGCCGCCGGCGCATCATGGCGCCCATCCGCACACCGTGTGACGATGCGAGGCACCCATCCCGACCCAACTTCCCACCCCCGCCTCCGCACCATCCCTACCGTTGGCTGCGCCGTCGCGAGCCTCCCACACCCGCCCCCATCACTCCTTGTTGTCCGGCAAGATCCGGGGGGCAACGCTCTCACGGGCGCGCGTGCAGTCTGGGTGGCGGCATCCACCATGCGGCGCCCCCTGCCCTGCGTCCCCCACCCCGCTGTGACGGTGCCACGCCGGTAAGAATCTCGTGGTGGCAACGCCCAGCGACAAGCGCGCGCCGTGCAACGCGAGGAGACCCTGCAACAAGCCGTGTTCGCCCGGATGGGCGGAGATCGAGCATGAGTGGATTACGTGGTGCACGACGTCGTCGACGGCTTCTCTTTGCCACCAAGCTCTGCTCCCCTCCCTCTGCATTAGAATCAAGGTGCCCGCGGATCTTACCTTGTCACGGTTGGCTCCCCCCTCTCCCTTCATGTTCTGCATTGGTAGCTGTGTTGGATGTACACTGTTTGATGGCTTGCTAGATGAGTAGTAATGGGTATACGATTAGGATTAAGTTGTTTATTTTGTGAGATGAGGATACAACATTTTCTCGGGGTTGTTTGGATTCGGAATTTTAGCCAATTCTTTTTCCCATAAACTCATTTAAAGGTCTAACAACCTGAAATTAGTTAGCGTAAAAAATATAGTTTTAGGGGCAGAACAAGTAAAACTTGGTTTTAGTACAACAGGAAAAGTGGGCTTTAGTAGTTTTTCTATAAACCATTTTAGTCCTTCCTATTCAGAAAGGCATGGCTTGAAACTTTCAAAAAAGAAAAAAACTATGGTCAAAGTGGCTAGCTTCCTTTTCCTGGAGAGTCGACATGCCAATCCTGATCAAATTTCAAATTGTACCCCCGCATACACACACAATGCATTACAACAAAGCAAAACTGAACGAGAGAATCATACAATTTTATGAAAGGTAACCTGACATAAAAGTCATCACTCTCTAATGATGACAATCATACTGATGTACCAATTGTAAAAAACAAATGCAAAGTTGGCTCTGCATCTTTTTGCAAACGAGCTCAGCATAATGCACTATAGTGGTATTGGCCAAAGCATCCATTACGAGGTCCTTGCCATTTTGCAGGTTAGCGGTGCTTGTATTCAGAGTCTAATATGACTGTTTCAGTAGTCAGCACAACGCTCTTGCTGAATAGCTTAAGGGTTGATCTTTCTAATCCTGTACATGGCACTTTGGAATCACCGTCAGCAATGAATCTTGAGGCTTGAGATTGAAGTTTAAGAACACATTAGAATTTAAGGACACCCGTGTGCTAAATCCTTTAATAATAGAGATAATAGAGATGTGAGGTGCTGTCAAACTCAACTCGAATTTGGATTCTTAATAAAATATCAGAAACATAGTTTCAAATTCATGTATTTCTAACGAGAGATTCTATGCAACTGAAGTTTAAGCCAGTTTTTGTTTTGCTATATGATATTACATGCCTCAGGTATTTACCATATTAAAAAGCATATGCCTTAGAAAGAAATATGACACACTGTCCAAGCATCTTTCTCCTGCATCTGTTTGGAATTTCATGTTATCTCTTGTTATTTCGAGCTTAAATAGGTGCATCTTCAAGCAAGTATAGTACAGGTAGATGTCGCGAAAGGAATAATCATGGTTTCTGAAGACTAACTATGCTCCCTAGAGTACTACGCAGCAACAAACTCGGGTTAGTGCGCATTAAGATCTAATATAATTATGTGGTTGTAATGTGTAACGCCCACGATGCGGCTATATCTCCCACGTGTCGAGGAACGACTTAGAGGCATAATCGCATTGTGGTTTTGTCGCAAGAGAGGTAATCTCCACACAGTCCCATGTACTGAATAAGAAAGGGACAAAGAGTTGGCTTACAATCGCCACTTCACACAAATAACAAGTTAAACATACATCATCCAGAGTACAATCAAGGTCTGACTACGGAACCAAAATAAAGAAGACAACCCCAAATGCTAGATCCCCGATCGCCCCAACTGGGCACCACTATTGATCATCAGGAAAAGACACGTAGTAACGGCCAAGGTCCTCGTCGAACTCCCACTTGAGTTCGGTAGCATCACCTACACTGGTCTCATCGGCACCTGCAACTGTTTGGAAGTATCTGTGAGTCACAAAGACTCAGCAATCTCACACCCACGAGATCAAGACTATTTAAGCTTATGGGTAGGATAAGGTAATGAGGTGGAGCTGTAGCAAGCGATAAGCAAATATGGTGGCTAACATATGCAAATAAGAGTAAGATGAGAAGCTACGCAATGATCGTGAAGCTAGAAGTGATCAAGAAGTGATCCTTAAACTACTTACGTATAAATATAAGCCAAACTGTGTTCACTTCCCGGACACCGCCGAAAAGAGACCATCATGGCTACACACGCGGTTGATGCATTTTAATTAAGTCAAGTGTCAAGTTCTCTACAACCGGATATTAACAAATTCCCATCTGCCACATAACCGCGGGCATGACTCTCGAAAGTTTATACCCTGCAGGGGTGTCCCAACTTAGCCCATCACAAGCTCTCACGATCAATGAAGGAAATTCCTTCTCCCGGAAAGACCCGATCAGTCTCAAAATCCCGGTTATAAGACATTTCGACAATGGTAAAACAAGACCAACAAAGCCGCCCAAATGTGCCGACAAATCCCGATAGGAGCTGCACATATCTCGTTCTCAGGCACACCGGATGAGCAATCGATACATATAAAACCAGCCCTCAAGTTTCCCCGAGGTGGCGTTGCAAAGGGCTCTAGTTTGGACCAACACTCAGAGGAGCACTGGCCCGGGGGGGGGGGGTTAAAATAAAGATGACCCTCGGGAGCGTGACTCCCAAGGGAAAAAGGTATAGGTGGCAAATGTTAAAACCAAGGTTGGGCCTTGCTGGAGGAGTTTTATTCAAAGCGAACTGTCAAGGGGTCCCATAACCACAACCGCGTTAGGAACACAAAAATCAAGGAACATAACACCGGTATGACAGAAACTAGGGCGGCAAGAGTGGAACAAAACACCAGGCAAAAGGCCGAGCCTTCCACCCTTTACCAAGTATATAGATGCATTAATTAAATAAGAGATAATGTGATATCCTAACATAACCATGTTCCAACATGGAACAAACTTCAACTTCACCTGAAACTAACAATGCTATAAGAGGGGCTGAGCAAAAGCGCTAACTTAGCCAAACAACGGTTTGCTAGGAAGGTGGGTTAGAGGCTTGACATGGCAATATGGTGTAACACCCTCGATGCGACTATAGCTCCCACGTGTCGAGGCACGACT